TGGAATATCCTCCTTCAAGAAAAAAAAAAAAAAAAATTTACAAACAACCGTTTGGTGAAATGACTCCCTCACTCGTAACTTGTTGATGCTCTTTTTGGGAGCTCAACTTAGAGAGAAGTAGATAGTCTTCAGCAGGGGAGAAGGTGAGGATCTTCGGTAAGGGAGGAGCCTGCAGAAGACAAAGTAGGAGAAGCAGTCGTCAAGTTTCGGACACCCGTGTGGTGCCGGCTAAAGGCTCTCCGATGCTTAAGTCAGCTATAAGTGGTAAATTTGACAGAGTAACAGTAAAAGTGAGAAAATAGTTACCCTTTTTACTTGGGTACTGTTCCTTATTTATAGGGAAGTGAAAATGGGAGGTTTGCCCAAAGTAGGAGGAACGGATTCCTTGAGCACGCGTTGAGTATAACTCGTGCTCTCAATGAAAGCACCAAATGTTTGTGCAAATTATCTTGCAGGAGAATATTCGCTTCTAGATCCTTCAATCTTCGATCTTCCTTCTCTCTCTTCCTCGATTCCTGTAAAACAGATTGGAGTAAATAAACCACACCCGGGGGGTATTGGCCAAAGGCCCTCCGATGCATAAGTTAGTTTGAGTGTTTGTAGAAAAACAATGGCTAAGCAAAAGGTACGAAGTTTATGTAGGGTGTGAACCAGGCGGTCGGAGCTGTGTGGAGAAAATATGGAGAGTGCAGAGGGAGAAAGAGCTTCGGGTATTTTTCTCAGGTATAAAGAGTAGGTTTAGATGTACCTTGAATGATGAATGAGGTCGCCTATTTATAGGAGCCTTGGGGCTAGGGTTTCGTAGAGAATATGCTGATTTTATTCTCTACCCAAATTCGTAGGAATCGAGTCAGACTTAGATAATATCTGATTTAATGATATTATCTCTTTTTATGAAGATAATATCTGAATTAAATGATATTATCTGAATTAATGATATTATCTTCTCTTTATTAGGATAATATCTGAATTAATGATATTATCTTATTAAATAAAGATAATATCATATTAATTAAGATATTTATCACAATTAATTAATTGGCCAGATAAACTGATTCAATTAATTAATTTAAGAGATATCTTCTTTTCCACATGACGTGCTGTGATTGGAGACGAAAATATTTGCTCCCACACTATATAAATACATCTGGTCAGTGATGTAGAAGTATACATCTTGAAATCTATTTTTATAATGAAAGGCAATTGCAAACATATTAGGGTATGCATGCTAAACAATCCAGACGACTAGATAAGAGAAACTTTATATAATTTTATTTGAGGGACACTTTATACGGTCCCCTAATTTGTTTTAATTAATAAACCCTTCTATTTTTCTAGTCTTCAATCATATACCATCCTTGCAAAAAATTATGCAAATTGAAAATCATTAAGGCAGAGTTGGGACCAACAAAATAGACAAACACCGTACTTTAAGGAAAAAACTATAACAAGAATCATCTAATTAAGTGGTTAAATCAATTGATTTCATTGGATTTGGGTCGTTGTATGAATATAAGGTTGGGGTTGTACGCAGTGGCAGATCCAGGATTCAAAAGTCAAGTAGGCGAAACTTACCTTAAAAACTCGACGGTACGAGTGAATTTTATTCAAAAGCTTAACAAAAATATGCATATCTATATATAAATAAAAGCTTAACCAAAAAAAAAAAAAAAAAAAGAAGAAGAAGAAGAAGAAGTAAATGCAATGCAACACAAAACTAAACTATTTAAATCTAAAACTTTACCCTACAGGGCTTAGAAATCTTAAATTCCTCAATTATCTCTTCATTATCGATATTATTAACAAACTCTCTTTCAATGTGGAGAATCATACAATCAGTAAGGAATTCATCAGCTACAGTGCTCCAAAGTCTATTCTTAATAATTCTCATACATGAAAAACTCGTTATGTTGTTGCTGTAAAAACAAGAAGAGTCAACACCAACTGAATCAACCTGTAAAGCAAATTGTAGTTTTTTGCCAAAGTTGTTTCAACCAATTGTTGACATAACTAAGGAAGAGTGGTGAGGTCCTTAAAGCATGGAAGGCAATGCATATCATTTTGAAAATACCTAAACTCAATTTCGAAAGCTTTCAAGTCACTTGGACTGAAATCAGCATGATAGAATTTCTCAGCAATTTTACATAGATGCCCAATATTGAATGATTTTAAGGAATTACGAGGATCCAATATTGTGTTAAGAATAAAAAGTTCAACTATTTGCTCTGGAAATCTGTCATTTAACTCCCTTAACATGCACTCTATCATATCATTAAATACATCAATGCGATAGTAATGTTCAACTATAATAAAATCTTTTCGTTGACAAAAACGACCACTAATTTTCTGGCTTTATGTGGTTAGGGTGAGGTTTGTTCGGCGGCACGATTCGTTAAAATAATTATTTTTTGTGTCGATCTATACAATCAACCTCGGACGTACCCATTTGCTACGTGGGAACCGGGTAAGTGGAAAGCAGCAATCTAACAATAATTTTATACAAGTCTTTTTACAATTCGCTGACTTCTAAGAAAAATATTATTTGGAAGGGAAGGAAGAGATATTTACAAAATATAATAAAGAAGAGTTATCACTCTACGGGTTTCCTCATTCCTATGGTAGGGACTCATATAAAGAGAACTCATATCAGGAACATCAATACCATGTTGTTCACAAAATGATACCACACTTATGAATAAATCATCCCAGTCATGTGCCCTCATATCTTGGAACTGTGATTTTGTGTTTTCAACAAAGTTTAAAGTACTTACAATATCTTGAGTTTTTATCTGAAACACTTGACAAAGAAAGTTGGTCAATACCATAATTTTATCCATCAAAAGCAATGAAAACACAAATTCAAAAGACATCATAACAATATAGTTACTCTCTGCATCGCCACGAAATTGTTGGTTAGGTCTATAATCACTTATTCCCTGGAGAAGTATTTTAGTCTTTTTAAATAAACTCATCAAACTTGTAATAGAGGCAAAGTGAGATCCCCAACAAGGGCTCCAGCTTGTTTCAAACTACGACCTTAATTAAGTCTTCTACCTGTCTCAAGTTCCCCATAATCTAACAACTCTTTGAGTTTAGCTTTTCGAATTAAATTTAACTCATTACGGTGCTTAGTAGAAGCACTAACAAAATTCACAATGTTAGTCAATGTTAAAAAAAAGGGAGTTTCACTAAAACACCCAAAATGGAGGTTGAAATTATAAAAAAACCCAACACCCAAAACACTTTATAAACACACCCAAAACTCATCATTACACACACTCAAAACCCATTTATAAACACCCCCAAAAAGTTGACTTTGAGGTTGATTTTGGGTGTGTTTCTATGTTTAAATAGTGCTTGGGTTTTTTTATAAATACATGTCTAGGATTGGGTTTATTTATAAATTTGTATAAAAAAAATCTCCATACCTAAGTGGGTTTGGTCTAGTGGAAAATTAAACTGGCTAGGCCACACATGTTGGGCGAATGTGATTGGGCTCCTCAATGAGGTCCCAGGTTCGATCCTCCGCAAGTGTAACGAACCTCTTGGGGAGAGCTTTCCCTAGCACGTGCCTGGCTCTGAGAGGTGACACTCCTGCCACCTTTTTTGTAATAAAAAAAAAAAATCTCCATACAACTTTAATATCTTTCACATGCTTATATTGCGTTTTATTGTTTTTGTTAGAGGAGAAAGTTTGAGTGTGATAGGCTATTGTTTTTGTTAAAGGGAAAATTTTGAGTGGGTTGGGTTTGAGTAGACAGAAGAAATTTGATTGTATTGGGTATTGGGTAATTTTTGGTTTGGCAAAAAATGGAGTAGCAGCTGCCTACCCTGCTCTTAGGGTAGGACCGCCCCTGGTGGGTTGGGTTTGAGAAGGCAGAAGAAATTTAATTGTATTGGGTATTGGGTAATTTTTAGTTTGGCAAAAAATGAAGTAGCTGCTACCTACCCTGTTATTAGGGTAGGACCGCCCCTGGTGGATTAGGTTTGAGTAGGCAGAAAAAATTTGATTGTATTGAGTATTGAGTAATTTTTAGTTTGGCAAAAAATGGAGTAGGTGGTTGCCTACCCTGCCCTTAGGGTAGGACTACTCCTGGTTGTACGTGTACTCCAGTTGGGCGCAATTTAATCTTAATTTTTTCTCTTTTCACTCTAAAATAGTCATCCTAAACTCTATTTTCTTTATTTTTTTAATAAAGAAAGTTCATGAGGACTACAATTTTTTTTTAACACAAGGAATATTAGGAAAGGGATAATCAAGCACTTGACCTAGAATATATGCATAACTGCGCTTAACCATTTGAGCTACAAATCCTTATTAACGATTATCTTAGACTACTAATAACAATATTCTCTTTCATATTAGGAAAATGATGATTTTGGTCTCTCTTTCAACAATGGAACTCTATTGAATAATGTTTCCTCATTTATAAATTTTTATTTTATTGTGTGTTTTTTGAATAATACTAGTCTTACCACATTTTTTATACCACAATTTTATACCACATGATGTGGCGGCTGATGTGTACATACAACATCATGTAAAATACTAGTTTCTGTTTTTCTAATTTTCTTTATTAAAATACACTTCATTAATTTAATTGCTATGACATATGATATGGACATGCCACATCATGTGGTATAGAAATGTGAGATAATAATGTGATAAGTGTAGCATTACTCGTGTTTTTTATGCATTACGTGGCATAATATGGTGTAGCAAATACATCAAAATTATACAGCATGTGCTATTATCAACATCTAAATCCTAATAATTTTGAGTACATGTATTAGATACACCATATAAGCATGTCACGAATACACTATATTTCCTTTTTCATATTTGTCATTCCAATTAAAATCTATAGATTAAATTTATGGACACCATCAACAGGTTTGCCTACAGAGGGTTCTTCCCGCTACATGTATATGGGCTTTGCTCTTAATCCTGCCATAATTGAACTCCTTTTTATGTAACTTTATTGCATGCCATTTGTTAGATTCGAAAGCACATTGTAGAAAATTAACAAAGTACTGTTTCTTAGTGTCATCACATGTTTTCCGTGAGAACCCTAATAATGATAACATAAGGCCTGAAACATGGACGCTAAATGTGAAGCCTGGAACTAAAATGGCTCGAATTTGGGCCCGAAACAATTGTGCCTTCAACAACTCAGGTCATGGCCGGTGCCAAACCGGCGACTGCGGCGGACACCTCCAATGCCAAGCCTATGGTTCACCCCAAAACACCCTAGCCGAGTATGCTCTAAACCAATTTGGCAACAAAGACTTTTTCGACATTTCACTTGTAGATGGGTTCAATGTTCCAATGGAATTTAGTCCCACGTCTAATGCGTGCACCAGGGGGATCAGATGTGCTCAAGATATCAAAACGCAGTGCCCTAATGAGTTGAAGGCTCCAGGTGGCTTTCACAACCCTTGCACTGTGTACAAAACTGACAAGTATTGTTGCAATTCGGGGAGATGTCGGCCTACAAATTTATCCAAGTTTTTCAAGGATCGGTGTAGGGATGCTTATAGTTACCCTAAAGATGATCCAACTAGCACTTTTACTTGTCCTGGTGGGACTAATTACAAGGTTGTGTTCTGCCCTTGAATCACATTGTTTCTCCAAGTTATGTTGTGTGGCGTTTGTAAGATGTGTACTAATACGAATCCTTAATAAATTGTGGCCACGACAAGAGTTTGATTTTCACATCTCCTGTCTTTAAATTTACAGATTTAATTGCGAGATTGGAGCATTATATATATTTTTGAATTATACAAATACAACACACTAAAATGCGTATAAAAAACTGTTAATCAATATATGCTGTCAGAAAATAATTCAGTTCTTGAGGTACCTTTTTCTTTTATCTCTTTCAATCTCATCAAAGCTCATGTTGAATTTATCGTCAGCCGTTGCATCGTCCTTCAAAATCTCACATCAGAGAAAAAAGAGCAAACGAGAATCGAGGACAACCTCCCAGAAAAAGGACATGCGCCTTGAAATTCTGGCAAGTCATCCTCGGCTCATACAACTCTATTTTAGGTTCTTTCACTCTTATTCCATTCAAACAAATGGGATGCATGGATAAAATCTTCACAACATTTGGGGGTTGGTCTGGGGTTCAAATCGATCTCTATCTTTTCTAGTTTAATTCCTTCTTGTAGCTTTCTCGAGAAGCAATCATTTCTACCATATCCTTTTGGTCCATCAACCATATATATATGTTCCTTGGATCCAACTTTGACAATCAATTTGTGCTTTATTCTGTGCAATCTTATCATTTTATACAATGTTTTCAAAGGCGAGGCGTATAGGCGAGGCGTTTTCAGTAGCGCTACGGGAGGCGTAAGCCTTGAAGCGTTGAGGCGTAAGCCTTTTGAACATTAATTTATTTTAATAAGAAAAATGTAGGAATAACACAACTAGTATATTTTTAAAAAAAAAATTGAAAAAAAAATATACAGAACTTGAAATTACAGTTGCGAAGAATTAGAGAGAAAAATAAAATGACTTACTTGCAGTCAAAAGATGAAGAGAATTCTTGAAATTGATGGAGATTATCTGATAAGGGTAGAAATTATAGTTGTATATGTACTCTACAATATATATATATATTAATTTAGAAAAGGAAAAAAAGAAAAAAAGAAAGAAAGAGGTAAGTAGAAAAGCGCCGGCTGGAGTTGGAAATGGCAAGAAGAATATGCCTTCAGTTTATTACAATAAAGGTAAGGGGGGGAAAAAAAAGTAGAAACTTCCGGTTTTTTTTTTCCAACCCAC